TATGCCTATTCAATGCAAACAACAGTTTTGTGAGTTTTTATCTAAGTTAGACACCGATCAGTTAAATTCAATTAATTTCATTTATGTTCACTATATATACAGTATATATCTCTGCATATCTATAGCAATCGCATCAAATATATTATTTATATGAAGCTCTTAAATATTTTGCGTACAATACAGACAATTACTCTTTAATATTATTGAGTTTTTAAAAGCCCTAAACTTATATTTAAAGAATGTTTGCAAAAATATTTGTCTATATCTATACTTAAGGAAAAACTTTTTTTTCAAAACAAATAACCAAAAATTTAATTATATTTCATTTATTTATTTTCCAATATTTCAATTTGCTGTCGGTATTAAAGTCAATGTTTTGTTGTATATAATAGTTATAAACGTTTTTTCGCAGTCAATCGATTGTGCAAAATGTGAAATCGCATTAACACTTAAAATATGTTGTTTTGAAACTTTTTGTCCCGAAAATTGCTTTCTCACGTCCCACTCTATAGTATAGGTACTCTGTAGTGGTTTTTGCAAATTTTAGTCATTTTTGTAGAGTTTATGTAAAAAATAGTAGAAAAGGCAGCGAAGAGACAGTGAATGGTAATATGGAGGCAATGGTAACGTGTAATTTGCTTCTTCATCTCCATCACTATTTTTGGGTAAAAATAATATTCATTTATAAGTTGAAGTCCTTTAGGGCATTAAATGCCTTTATTCTTGAGCTCTTGTGTGGTGTTTCTTCGGTGACTTTTTTGTTGTATTCTTTGCAAAAAATGTTTGATTTGATTGCCGCCCAATTGTTGCCCCATTGGCGAGATTTACACATTTAATGCAGTGTGTGATTGCCTGCCCCTCTGCCCCTCCTTTATGCGAATATAGATTCGTATCGAGTATTTGAAAGCAGTCTTCAGTTTACACCACATTTACGGCAACTCTTATACCAGTCAAGTCACTCACACAATACAAAGGCCCACCACTTGTCTCATTCATCCCATTCTCGTTTATTACATAAACATTTACGTTAAATGCAGTGATTTTTTCTATGCTAAAAACAATTCTGTGTTTTCTTCTCATTTTAGTGATACAATGAAAAGATGTGTTTTGTCTGTAATGTGCAACTCATGTGATACGGCGACCACATTATGAAATGAATCCATCGGTCAATTGCTGTAAACTATGAATGAGGCAATTGAGGGCAAACTCACGAATACCAGTCACCACACGTCCAGTGCCTTCAATATGCGTGTCATCAATGATGAGGATTCAGATCAACAGTTATTACTCGCAGAAACTGGATCTACAAATGGTACCAATTCTTTACTGACCAGTGATATACTCAGCCATAAGAATAATATCAAAATAAGCCCACAAGTGCCTCATCCGCAACACATCCCACCACCAGATGATGACGATGTAGACCAAGAAGAGGAGGAGGAAGAAGAAGAAGAAAAAGAGTGTGAATATCGACAAAACGATAATAAAGTTAGTGTTAAAAAAGTAGATGTCTTACAATTAAGTGCCTCTAAAGCGAGTATAAGTAGTGGCGCGAGAAATAAGAGGAAAAACTTTCAGCCGAGAAGTATATTCGTCGTCGAAGAAGACAACGACGAGAATAACTTCGAGAATAACAGTAACGACGAGACAAATGATGACAACGAAGAACAGAGTGAGAGTGAAAGCGTGGAACTAATGAATGGCAAATCGAGTTCGGAGTCATATTCTTCATCTGTTTGTGATCCATCAGAAGTGCGACTCCCGGTGTCTAGTCATCAGTCGTTAGTGACATCAATCACTTCGTCCATCACAGGCATCAGAAGGTGTGCTTCTTTACCACAACAACCCCTCCAACCCCTCCAACGCCCCACTAATTACCCGACGACACAACAATCACAACCATTGGATTTGAGTCATCAGGAAAACAACGGCACTTCTAATGGACTCCTGAGTGGAAGTGATGGCAAAACGGGTCCATTAAATAATATGATTGTGAACGTGAAGAATGTGAGCGATCGGAACAGTGCCGGTGCTATGCCTGCAACCAATCCAATGGATTTGAGTAGAAAAAGAAGTTGTAGTGAGGATGACATGAATGAAGATGAAGACGAAGTATCAGCTGATGAGGAGGATGTCGTGGACTTGAGATTTAAGCACTTTTTGGGGGGCTTTTATGGTCTGAAACAGCAACAGATTCCTATGCCCTACAAGAATACAGCCGAAGCCACTGTCACAACAGGTGAGATATTTGCTTCAATTCATTGTATTGTTTGCATTAGTTTTGCTTTTTTCTGTCAAAAGCAATCGCTTTACTCATTGAATCACTTTAAAGGGGATTACAATTGAAAACATAGTTTAGATTCTTTGCTAGACGTGTAGTCTGTGATCAAATCTTATCGCTTTTGTTGTACACCTAATGCTTTGCAGTCAAACAACATTGCCATCAATTGCTATTACCTGTTGATACCCACACTATTGTAAGCACACATTTAAGTGTACTTTGAATACTGTTGTGTAATGTTTACGCAAAATACACACATTTTAATGTCTCATAATAGCACACATGCATTAAATCTCAATTGTTTGACTATCATTAAGTCATCTGAATTATGTATTCATTCAAATTAGCAATTTTGTCGCAATTTTAACATTTTTATACATAAATTTTTGTCAAATTAAAAAGAAATTATAATTAATTCAAAACATATACACGAGTTAAACAGCCGATAAAACGGGAGGCAAAATCTCTAATTACAAAATAAATTGATTAACTCGTTGTTTCGGTAGTATTAGTAGTAATAATATGAGAAATCGTGGGAAAATATTTATAGTTATTATTGAGTGGAAAATATGGATAAAAAATAATTTTTCAAAAAAATTAGTGATAAAAGTGATGTATCTATAAAATATTAAACTGGAAGCGCCCACAGTCTGGGACCCGTTCGCCACGTCTGGGCGACAAAAACATAAACAGTATTTATACGAAATGATCAAATATGAGCCCTAATACTACTCATGTAGTCTTTCGGACGAATGCAACACAAATTTTCTTGTTTTTCTTAATCTCCGGAAATTTTCTCTCAATTGAAAAATTTAAAAAACTAATAAAATTTATAACAAATCTGTTGAGAAGTTTCTGTGAGAAGGGATTTCTTTTAACAACTTTTAGTCTTTACGCGTATTTATGATAAACACTATAAATGCGAATAAATGTCACGATATTCTCAGATAAGTTTTATTTTGAGCATATTTTGGGAATCAATTTCAATTTTGTCATTAAAATTGATTTTTAAGTATTTATTGTTGCAATCAATCGTCGGTTTGATATTTTGTCTCAAACAAGAAATTTTAAAATTTGTTTTTCTCGAAGAAATTATTTTTAAAAAAATATATTATTCATTATAAACCAACAACTTTTCTGAAAACATACTTTTAATATTACTTTTAATATTTTTTCTTCATTTTAATTAAAATTTCTGCAAAATTTTGGAAAATAGTCTCTTAAATGAAAAGAAAAGATGTATTAAAATTAAAAATCAAATATAAATACATTTGACGATTGAATTACAATTTTATGACATTTAATAACAGCAATAAATGTAATCTTAAAAATTAGTGGAAATTAAGTAATATTTTTGGTCGCAAAATATAATGTTTGTGAATTCAACTCATGTCTAATGATGTATTGCCGGAAACATTAAATTTTTAATTATCTTCTTCTTTGTCTCATTTTATTAATTAGTTTTAAAGTAAATTCAAAAATAAATTAGAAAAAAGATTGAAAACCAAAATAGAAATAATAATAATAATAATAATTTTAATCTTTAAGTTATGGAATGCGAAGAATAATAAAAATGTTTTGGAGAGAAAAATAGGGAAAGTTGTGAATTGTGGGGACTGTGAGTGTCTGGTGAGGGCTGTTGTACGGACTGGTGGTGTAGGGACTGGTAGTGTAGGGACTGTTGTGCCGGCAATAATTGCATCGAAAGATTTTGTTGATTTCTGACGTGAACGAAATGGATTAGTTTGCCATTTGATAATGTATTAGTGGTATTACGTGCTGCACATCATTCAAGTGTAGCACACATTGCATGATATATAAAGAAATTTATATAAAAAACTATTATATATATATTATGTGAATAAAAGACAAAATGATAATCTCTTTCTCTGATAATTGCGTTTATATCTCGAAAAGAGGGGAAACAAATCATTTTAAAGAAAAGAATCAAAAGTTTAGTAAAAAGCTGTCAAAAGAGGGATGACTGAGAAGTACGAGAAAAAGAGATTTCATTTTTAAGAGAAAGTATGTAATCATTGAATAGAAGAGAAGTAGAATAGAAGTGAATGGAGACAGACATGCGATTCACAGCATCAACAAGTGCTCGAGTGGTGCAGTGCTGCCGGTGCTGCCGATCCTCCCTGTGCTCCCTGTGAGCCCATGCCATCCCTGCCATCCCTGCCATCCCATGCCATGCCATTACACGCTATGGTAGTGCCAATGGGATGACCTATTATTAACCTTTTTAATTCTGTTGGTAATTTTAATGCAAGTGATGGCCTCTTGGAAGGGGTGTTGGGTTTGTCGGCGTGGGAAGAGCTGTACCCTCACTAGTAGTACACAATTCAACACAATATGCATAACTTCAAGACTTATACACTCTTTGTTTATGATCTTAACTGCCAGTTCAGTGCATTGGCCTCCACTTTACAATATTATATTGTTTAATACCCTTATAAAATATATTAACCTCCCATTTCTCCCAGTGCTCCGAGTCCTCCCAGTACTCCCAGTAGCACAACAGCACAACAGCACAACTTCTTTACTAATTTATGAATACATAAAATAGCATCAAAAATGCTTTGTAATTAAAATCGACTCTTTTTTCAAATTGTCAGACAAAATAAAAACGTTTCAAACATTTTCAACATTTTATTGTTTGTCGTGAAATGCATTAATCATTTAAGACTTGACTTCAAATCTCGTTATCCTGTTTGAGATGCCATACGTGTAAGACATGAGCACATAATGTGCCTCAAAGGGCACTAGTATTGCACTCGACTGTCGGGTGGAAACGGGAGGACTGTTGTCAACAATGCCTACAGCTTTCGTACTGTTATGCTATGAATGAATTTTTTGATCGTTCACTTGCGCTAACTTTCGCTCTCATGCTATCAAAACATGTTAGGAATAATCGAAGAGAGAAAACAACTAAAAAACTGAATCAAACGATTAACGATATTTTTTATATAGAATTTGCATTCATTTTTCAATTTATTGAATATTGAATAAGATTTTCTCAGACAAATGCAGACACAGTCTCACACCTATGAGAATCACTCGAAAATTCACGCTTTTTAAATATTTGATGAATTAATTTGTCATATTTTGTGCAAATTTGTCGTCTTTGAGGTATAGCTTGAGGTGTGGAGAAGTGAACGCATAGTATAGTATAGTGTAGTGTAAGGGATGCCTGATTTGGATGCAATATTTCATGTTGACATTATGTGCCTCACAATCTCCTTATTGCTGTCAATATAATCATTACTCAATTTCTAGGTCTTATAAAATAGTGAACACAGCTTCTCATGCCTCTCATGCCCGGACACACACACACTCACAAACACCAGTGGGTTAGGGGTGGGGCGAAGTACTCCTCACTTCTTGCAATTCATTATATTTATTAGCCATTCATTAATTTGTTAGCAATTTTGTGTACTTTTCTTGATTTTAAAACTCAATAAAAAAATTTTCTTTAAAATTAATGATTTTATCTTTGAATCATATAAAGTGAATGAAGACTCTAATGAATCGGTCGACTCGAGCGGACCCCTCGCCAGCGCCGCATTAAAAACAATTAATTTCGCGAATAAAACAAACACTTCGGAAAGTAATGTCAATTCATTGCGTAATAGGGGTTACGATAGTATCGCGTCTAGTCTTCAGTCACTCTTCTCATCAACAAATAACCGGTACTCCAGTGAACAGCCGGTCCCACAGGTAGTCATTTGTTATCTTAATGGTCCTAATAATCAATATTAAGCCATCATTTGTCGTCTCATTTAACAGAACATGTCTTCCTTACTATCATTTGCTGCACTCGGAAATCACTTGAAAGGATTCACTGACAGAAAACAATCCAATTCTCATACAAACAATTCGTGGAAAAAGAGCTCTTCGACCGCAAACTTAGGGCCCGCGCCATGGATTGACAAATCCTTCTTTACAACGCCGTCCACTTCTTCATCCCATTCCGGTATGCATTCAATACATTCAATATTCAAAGTCATATAAAATAATATTTTGTCGTCTCTCTCATGTGAATATGAATTTTGTGACAATTATTTGAATGGATTTTAAGAGAGAATTGAATTAATGCCGTCTCGCATAAGAATCTATTGTTATGCAAACAAATATTTTTGTGTAAAAATGAGAAAATTTAAAGTGGGGTTAAGAGAGAGAGAGAGAGAGAGAGAGAAATACAATTAATCTTTTGACAAATGAAACTTAAATTCAACGATAAATTCCACCAGTTGTGTATAGCGTTTGGGAAGTGCTCATCACCCGAAGTATGATAACAGATACTCCACAAGAATCATCACAGAAGAGAGAGAGAGAGAGAGAGAGAGAGAGAGAAATGATTTTTAAAGCGTGGATTCAATGAATCGATGGTGTCTTGAATTGAGAGAAAGCGCTTGTAATCGCTTTTGGGGTGAATTTATAATATTTGTATTCAAGGACGAGCAGAGTTGAGCTGAGCTGAGCTCCACCACTATGTCTATGCCCTATCTATTAGGACATTGTATTTAAGATGAGGGGTTGGGGGCTAAGACTTTCATACAAAAGAAACTTTTAAATGACATTTCATTTCACAAAATGATGGATAAGATTCCGCTCTTAAAAACTTATATAAAACAAGTTTAAGAAAAATATTTCTTTCATTTTTTAAGTTTAAAAACGGGATTATATTTATAGCTTTATTCATAAGTATTATGTGATATAAACAATGTTTGCGAGTAAAGGACCCTTTCGTCTGATTTCAGTTTCCCATACCTGCTGTTCACACAAATAGATTGTTTCCCTTATATAATGTTGCAGTTATAGAGAGGGAGAGAGAGAGTGAGTGAGTGAAGACAGGAATGTTTTCTATGATTAATTAGAATATGTTTATTACTTTTTGCAATCAGAGAGACATCACTATCTATTGATGCAATATTGGCCCAAACGTAGACCCCATACCACACCTGTTTCCGTATTTACATAACTTATATCCAAATATATTCCCAACTATTCCCACACTCGACAGCCAATCGACAGAATAATTTTTTTTATGTTTTTTCTAACTTTTTTTCTAAACGCTTTATTATTGTATTTATCGTTGAATTTAAGTTTCATTTGTCAAAAGATTAATTGTATTTCTCTCTCAATTTGGATCCAATTTTTCATTTTGCTGTCAAACTCTAGACTTGAACTCAGAATGAGAACAGAATAATAAGAATGTTTTACTAAAAAATAGAAAATATGTTTAAATGAATTACACAAAGAAGAGCTATAGAAGAGCCTCTTTTATAAATGATATTAAAAAACAATACATTTTCTATTAAATCTTTGTCTGCACTTTAGGAACATTGCCATCAAAAGTTGATGCATTGGGCAAAAGCACCGGACCTGTTGACTATACCAGATATGTTAAGAGGTATTCACATAAAGTCTATTCAATAGAAAGAAAACATTAATAAATTCTTTATTTATTATTAATTGAAAATTCTTTTTCACATTTTATATGGTTTTGTATTCATTTTAATAGAAATTTTCAATTTAATGTTTAAAATGATTTAGATTTGTAAACGCATCGGATTGTGGTTTCCCCTATTGCAAAGAACTCAACTATAGAGAGCACTTTCATTGCATGGATTGTAATTCAAGAGTTTTTGTCAAAAAAGAGGAGATGATTCGCCACTTTAAATGGCATAAAAAACGTGATGAATCTCTAATACACGGATTCATGCGATACTCTCCTTGCGATGACTGTTCCGATAAGTTTCCAAACTGTGCTCACAATCGAAAGCAAACTCATTATCATTGTCTCAAACAAGGCTGCGATAAGGTATGTCTCGGTTAACACCTTTGCCAATACATTTCAAATACATTAGGATTATAAAATATAGTTGGTATCCGACTGCGCTAATAAACACACGTATATCTTAATAGACATTACAGTTAATATATTTATCTAAATGTAAACTATAAATTGCTTAAATCGCGTCAACGCTTAACATTTATGAAATATTGTCTCTAAAAGGTATATATCAGTACATCTGATGTTCAAATGCACGCCAATTACCACAGAAAGGATACGGCAATTATTCAGGAAGGCTTTCAGAGGTTTCGCGCCACTGAAGACTGTTTGCTCGAGTCGTGCGTTTTCTTCGGCCAAAGAACCACACATTTCCACTGCAGACGAGACAACTGTAACCATACCTTTAAGAACAAAGCAGATATGGGTAGGCATTCATATATTCCTACAAAACCGATACAATAAAACCACATTCAAATTGCTTTCACAACACAAAAATGCATTCAATTTATTTAATTGAAAACAAAAAAAATTGATTTTGATTAAAAATTGTTCAGAAAAACACAAGTCTTATCACATCAAAGACGAGCAGTTAAATCGGGACGGATTCAAGAAGTTTATGAAACATGAGATCTGTTCGTTTGAAAGCTGCCGCTTCTCTCGCGTTTGCAATCATATTCATTGCATACGTCCAGGTATTGCATGATCTCAATATAGGGGCCATCAAGACGTGCGCTAACGTGTATAGCTGTAGTGCTCTAATCACTTCACTGGTTATGAATATATTCATATGTAATGTAGACTACTATATGATAGATTGGCTGATTGTTGACCCCTATATTGTGTAATTATGTGTTTATATGATGTAATAACTATATCGATATCTATTGTATTGAAATACGATAGGGTGTTCATATGTCCTGCACTCAAGCGGTCAGTTATACTCACATAAAAGGAAACACGAAAGAAGAGAGAATGAATTGGCGTATAGGAAGTTCCGTTTAGCACAGAATATGTTCAGATCTCTTAATAACGACAACAACACTAACATAGCCTTTGGTTTCCTTGAGGCAAGTCTTTACTTCTTTTATTCTTCATTCACTTTCTCTTTCAATAAATTAATTTGTGTCTCGAGTTTCACAATTCGGCGATAACTTAATATAGGAATCTCTCTCTCTCTCTCTCTCTCTCTCTCTCTCTCTCTCCTTTGGAGGACAGCCACACCTTGATGTCTCTCTGATTGCAAAAAGTAATAAACATATTCTAATTAATCATAGAAAACATTCCTGTCTTCACTCACTCACTCTCTCTCTCTCTCTCTCACTCTCTTACTCTCTCCAACTCTACACAACAAACTTTTTAAACTAATTGCATATTTAATAAGAGTTGTGTTTAAAGACAATAAGTTCTAATAGAACATTGAAATTATGATATAAGGGCTCAAATTTTGGCTGCGATGACGACAGTAATAGAAGTAGTAATGCAATGAATGAAGCGGAAGCACTGGCGAGTCAACTGCCTCTCACACAAATCGGTGCAATTCCTTTAGAAGACATAATCGGCGAAATACCTGAGACTAAATGTTTGCAATTGTTTACAAAGTAAGACAATCTATCCTTTTGTATCGTCTATTCATTGATCTTTGGGCCCAATATATGAATTCAGATTTAAGAAAGGAGAGCAATGTTTGACAGAGGATTGCAAATTGAAAGGCAATGAACACAATCACTGCAAAAGGTGTGAATTCTGTGCCTCCAATTTGAACCAACTGTTAGAACACGCGAAGTAAGAAATCATTTGAAAAAAGCCATTAAATTAGATAATTGTGAGAAAATATTAACATAACTATTGACTTATATATAGAACTCATATAACACAAGACGAGGCGACGCCTCTTATATTTGAAGAGTCAGATGACGGAACCGTTTGTACTAAAGAGTGTGAATACTATCAAAAGGAGCGCCACTATCACTGCAGAATGGTTTGTAATGAAGTGATTGTGTCAAGTGTTGGCATATTATAATTTTCTGGTCCGTTGAATGTGACAGTACGGGTGTTCGTGTGTGGTTCCCATTAGTGACACTTCGTTCAAGAAGTTAGACCACTATCTAATGCATGAACAACAGCAACGGATTAATGCACAAAATGAGTTACAATCGGCCGCCTATTCGCAGAGTCCCCCTCCGCCGCCGCAATCCCAACATTTTCTCGACCATCAACTCATGCAACCCTTCACACAGACTTATCCCACCGGAACATCCATCACATCCATCGATGGACTTCCAATACTTAAGCGAAAACGCGGTCGACCGCCGAAGAATAAAATCGTTGAAGTGAGTCCTCATTTGTTTTTCTAGTCTATCGGTAATTATATAAAACCAAAATCAATATTTAAACCAATAGATGCCTCAAACACTTTACCCCAACTTTAAATTACCCAAAAATGACTTATCGTCGCCGCTATCGATGCCTTTAGGCATTTCACCATTCAATTTGGCGGCCGCCCTCTACGGCAATACCAATCTCTCACTCCCGGCGTCCACCGCTCTCTCAGACATGATTGCCTGTCAGTCCACTGGAGACGACACCAAAACAATTCCAATTCCTCTTATGCTTCCGTATACTAAGTCTAATATTCAAGAAGGCTTTATAGTGTTTGATGAGGGCTTTCCCTGTACTGACAACTTATGTAAATACTTTTGTCAAAAGCACTACCACTGCTCTAAACCGCGCTGTTATTACGTAACCAACATAAGTGAGGCAATAGTTACGCACTCAAAGGAATTTCACGACAGCATCGATATAATGGAGGGATTCGCGTACTTCGATGGCGGCGTCGACTGCCGTATAGCCGGTTGTGTCCACAATAAAATGAACCGTCACTATCACTGCACTAGGAATGGCTGTAATTATGCTTTCGTTAGATATACCCAAATGAGTCCACACGAAGAGAAACACAAACGCGAGAATAGTGTTGAGAAAACCAACCAAATCTGTGATCAAACATATTTTGCTAACAAATCCAAATCCAGTGCCACTGCATCTCAGGCCAGCTCTCACTCCGACGATGACAGAGATTCGATGAAAAGTCCACTCAATCTAAACAATAATCATATGTCCAATAATTGCAATAATAAGATGCAAACCACAGTGAAAGCGAAGGGAACATTCTATCCCCTCTCATCCCTTTCCAAACGAAAATTAAGTCAATCTTTAACATCAAATGTAAGACATCAACGACTTGTACTATATGTTGAAATAAAACTAAATTCTATGCATTAAACTCACAAATCAGACAAAAACTGACGATGAAAGTGATGAAGAAGACATTGATGACTGCGATAGCGATGTCCCAAACAGTGAGATTATGAGACGAGAGGCGCTCAATCATCTGCTTCAGGATCAGTCGCCATTCAATCTAAATACTCAAACAAACCGTTTGCACAGAAAATTATTTTCTCCAACGGATGAAAAGCATCAGCAGTTCTCTCCCAGTAATGGATGTGGACTTCCCTTCTGTAAACTTAAAAAGAGGGATCACTTTCATTGCAATGTCTGTAATCAGGTTTGTCATCATTTTGTTGCTTATATTATTAGTTGTAAAGTTTTAATACAACATAACTTTCATAGAACCCAATGTTTAAATTATGCCAATTCTGACACTATTTTTATACATTTTTTATCTCACGTTTTAAATGTGAAAAATAGTTAAAATCGTTTAAATTAACTTAAATTCCGCCAAAGTTTTATCTATAAAACAATGCATGACTTCATTAAGTAATGTATCTCAATATAAGTCCAATTTTATTCACTTTCCGTTTTAATGACTTTTCTGAAAATTATTGGCGAATGAAAATAGCATTCGTTTGAATTATAGATAATTTTGTTAAGTAATAGTTTAGAAAATAATCAAATTTTGATAAATTTTAAAATAATACTATAATGTTTTGCTAATACAGTAGTAATTTAATTGCAAATATTTCTTTCAAATTTTTTATATTTAAGACTATTTTTACAAGAAAAATATTCTCACAAAAAAACTTTTATGATTTTAT